ACCTCCGCCTCCCAAGTTCAAGCGATTCTCCTGCCTCAGCCTCCTGAGTAACTGGGACTACAGGCATGTGCCACCACACCCAGCTAATTTTTGTATTTTTACAGAGATGGGGTTTCACCATGTTGGCCAGGATGGACTCGATCTCTTGAACTCGTGATCTGCCCAATAGAAATAACAATAATGAAATTGAGATGAGATTTAAGATAAGAAAATATATTTAAATTAGCAGGCACAGTGCATAATAAATTTCTCCTTTTCCCCTTATGCCAGTAGGAATATTATGTAATGAATTTAATGATTGCAACTTTTGAATAAATAAATGGTTTTAATTGATATAACAATTAAGAGAGACTGATCAGAAAAGTATATCTTTTACAGTCATTGCAAAGCCTGCAGTGATACAATGCAAATATTTACAGCCCCAGAGACTTTGTTGAAGGATTATTTTTAAGAGTGTCTTCTTGTTAAACTTCCAAGTAGAAAAAAATGCTCCACATTCAGAGGAAAATAAATGATTAAATCAATGGGAAAGAGAAAAAATAATTTTATTATTTCTGTCTGCATTATGTGATCCTGGTTACTTAACTAAAACATATAGAAAACTTCCAGGGTTTCCCAAATGACCTTAATGTTGAATATATATCTTTATTTATGCTCTTTGCTCACATTGGGTTTCATTTCTGAAAACACTGCAACTACCATTTGCTTCCCCTTATGCATGTACCACAATTCTGAAGTTGAAAATTCAGTCATTCAAGATTATCATCATCCTAGAACCTCAAATAAGTTTGAAATAATTGTGTAGTAAAATTTCCTGAAGGGTAAAGAAGAGGCATCGATCTCTTTATGCAATGTCTTTTAGCTGTCTCTATTCCCAACTTAAAACTATACTTAAACATTGACTCTACATTGTTTTCTCTTCCCCAGGCATCTCAACCCTGGCTGTACATTAGAGTCAGAATGCCTAGAGTTGGGACATAGTATTTAAAATATTAAGTATGAGAAAATTTCAAGAATATTTGAGCGTAAAAAATATTGTATGATGTATTTCCACATCACCAACTTCAACAACAAATTTATGGCCAATCTCATTTCATCTGTTCCTTGTTTCATCTGTTCTTCTGCCCAATTTTGTATTATGAATCAAGTCTAAGCCATCAAATAATTTCTTGTGGGAAAAGTTTAGATAGATAATTCATATAGAAACCATTTCAGACAAAACCATAACATTTTTTTCATACATAAAGTAACAATAATTCCTTAATATCATCAAATATGAGTACTCATATTACCCCAGATATTTTGTATAATTTCTTTTAATTTGATTTCAAATAATACTTATACTTTGCAATTGACTGACACATTTTAAGTCATTTCTATAGAATCCCATTCTCTTTTTCTTTGTTTGCTATTTATGTGTTGAAGAAACGTTTGATATGGTCTAACATAGTTGCTCCTAGCCACATTTAGCTATTACATTTCAATCAATTAGTAGTAAAAAGAATATAAGATTGAATTAAATAAAATGTACAATGTTACAGTATGCACACTTGCATATTTCAAGTGCTTTATAGCCCCATGTAGCTAGTGGCAACTGTATTGAAGAATACAGATAAAGACCAATTCCATTATTACCAAAAGTTTCATTAGAGCACACTGCTATAGTGTCCCAGTGTAAGTTTTATTTTCCGATTCTACTCATATATGCCAGTTAATCTGATATAATCCCTCAACTTCCTGTAAATTGATAGGGATATTTAGATCTTGATTAGATTTATGTTCAATATTTTGCCCAAACTATGACATAGTCCACCTGCATCAGGAAGTACAAGATATCTTCTTGTTTCTTTTTTTGTAATGTTAGTAGTCACTGATGATTGTTGTCTGGCTTTAACAAAAATGATATATTTTTATTTTCTCTGTAATTTTCACACTTTCTTCGTTGTTTTCATACCATTCTTACCTGTACACTCATGGTAGATTTATTAGAACTGATGCTGATTATCAACAGACTTGTATCTTTGCCTCTAGTGTTTGAGATCCCTGTTTTCCTCTGGGGGAATTAAAAAATCAGCTATCTCACATTGTTTGTAGATTTTAGCTCACATTGTGTATTAATTGGTTCAAGAGACAGAGATCCTACCTTTCTGGGTAGTCAATTACTTTCTTCATTTTTATTCATTTGTATATAATAATTTTTAAATTCTTTATAAAATAAAATTGTGTAGAGATGACAGATTAAAACAAACTATTTCCTCTGTAAAGGTTGATGGGAAAATTAAAAAAAATAAAAAAATATAAACAATTAATATTGATCCTTCCAAACTTCACTAAAACTATCACAAATTCATTGTTTTTCAAAGACATAGACCCACAAACACAGGAGAGAAAAACCACTGCAACAGCATTTTGGGCTTTAGAAAGCAGATGGGCAAGGACTACCCACTTAGCAAACACTAACCTAGAAATAGAAGAAAACTGTGAAAGAACCAAAATTGAACTGTAAAAGCTTCAAAAACCTCAGGAACTAGCAGTTATGGAACTAGGAGTGAAGTAATTTGCTGTTAAAGAAGATCTGAGGATGTTAAAAAAGATACCTGGGTAATCTCTTGCCATCATTTGACCACCCTTCAATTACTCTGTCAGTGCTCTGGAGATTTGGTTTTAGGCAAAGGGTAAACTTTGCCTGGGCTGGACTGTTGAGAGAAAATGAACAGTACCATGAAGAGAATGAACAGGTCACTTACATATAAATACTGATGTTTTTGTCCCTTACTTTCACTTGACTTCTAGGACATGGGTAACCAGACTTCTATAGCAGGAGAATAGAAGATCTTTATCTAGAAAATTTGCCTTCTCATAAGAGAAGGATGCAAGGATACTGACATCCTGGTTTTTCTGAAAACTGGCCACATCTTCTTGCAGTAGAGTCCAAGTTTGCTAGTCCCCACTTGGATGCTCAGAGCTCTTGATCTGCTTTTGAGCCCTACACCCAATGTTAATTATAAGCAAGTAAACAGATTACCAAATATCTTGGGGAAAACTTTAATGAGAAAGATAGAAACCAAAATAAGCCAATAGGAAAAAAACCCAGCAACTTGGAGGAAACAAATATGAATAAAGAAAAAATAAACTTGATATTAATATATTAAGAGTGGCAATAGAGGCTATTGTATTTATGAAACTAACAAAATGACATGAAAAGAAATCTTTAGAAAACATATAAAACTAAAAATATATGCATAGGGGTATGAAACGAGCCCTGTGAAGGTGTTATGATATAAAGTCCGGGAACTCTCTCAGAGATTAAAACAAAAAGACAGTCTGAGTAGAAAGTATTACACAATTAGACAACTACG